TCTATATATAGTCAAACATTAACTTACCGAATTTCCTAAATGTTTAACAGCAATGTTGCACATGACGTTTTTAAGTGCAAATTTTATTGTCGATTTACGCAAAAGACGAGATTTTCGGTAGGTACGTAACTTTAACTGTGATCGACTATTGAACTGCATTTTGAAGATCCGACTTCAGTGCAACTTATATAAGACTTAACCGTACGTACAGTACGTACGCATACTGTATGCTAATTTACCAAAGTATTCATAATCCACGATAACCCCCGTTTTTCGAATTAAAAATCTAATAAATTAGTTAATATTTTGGATTAGGCATTTTTAATTAAAAAAATTCTTGTTATTTTTACAGTCAACATACGTATATATACAAATTTACCAATCTTCGAATAATTAGAGATATAATCACACCGAAATTCTCATAATTCAAAATCAAAACGTAGACAAACATTAATAATATTAAATCGTGAGTAGTCAGGGTCATGTGCGGCAAATCGGTTTATTATATAATTGCGACTGCACAGTTAGTTATGACATTAAATTTAAATTTTTACAGTACCTTAATTTACAATGATTCTTAACAAATTTTCAAATATTTTTATCGTTGGCTCAAAGAACTATCTTTTTTCTTACTCTAAGAGGAATTTATCTGTAAGATATTTCACATCAACGAATATTATAAAAATGTCAAAAAAAAACGCTCAGAGGAAGAATGGCAAACAATCTTAACTCCCGAACAATTTAGAATTTTAAGACAAAAGGGAACTGAATTGCCAAATACTGGTGAATATAATAAATTTAAAGGAAAGGGTAAGGTTTTTCTTCCTACAAATATACTTAGCCTATTTTTTAAAAAAATTTGCTTCGGTGTAATTGTAAACTCTCACTTTTATTAGGTGTATACAGTTGTGCTGCTTGTAATACCCCACTTTATACTTCTGACACAAAATTTGATTCTGGATGTGGCTGGCCTGCTTTCTTTGAGGCTATTCCTAGTATGATCAATAATTAACCTTATCGATTTTTATCACTAATGAATTATTCTATAAATATATACTTAATTTTATTTAATCTAAAATGAAGGTGCAATTAATCATCATGAAGATTTATCCAATAATATGAAGAGAGTTGAAATTACTTGTGCTGCTTGTGATGGTCATTTGGGCCATGTTTTTCAAGTAATTAAATTTTTTGATTTTTCATTTTAAATTTCTTAATCTAAGAATTTTTATTTATTTAAGATATTTATTTAAAATAGGGCGAAGGTTGGAAACATACACCAGCTGACGAAAGACATTGTGTTAATAGCGTTAGCATTAAGTTTTCTCCTGAAGAGGAAGAAAAAAAGGACTAAAATAAAATTTGACCTAGTTTTTACACATTTATTTCATTTTTATATGTATTATTTTTTGTTTTTTCTGATTATTTTTATCAATTTAATGAGTCGTACTCATCAAAAATGAAGCGACTACCCAACATCTCCAAATGTCAGTTTAACCAGAAGCATTTTTATATTAAAATATAGTCTTGAAGTCAAAAATGTCAAATTTGTTATAATCAATAATCATGTGTACTAAAAATAGGTACTTCTGATCGCGGCATTTTTATTAATAAAACTCGTTCTTCCTTCTACATTTTTGATTTTTAACTTATAAGAGATATTTTTTGCAAAATTTGAAATGAAGCTGACATAATAACACTTAATCAAATTCAATCAAAATCGATTGTGTTTATTATGACAAAGTTTATAAAAAGGTTCAATTGTATTTTCTTTTCTAATATCGTATTTCACGTAATTACGCCCATGAGCGTTATTACAACAATCATATAACATTCATATGTTCGAAATGATGCTCATGCGCTTCCGAAATAACGTATGCAGTTGCAAATGGCGGCTAAGACTAACTTCTACACGTAATCAAGTAATGATAATTGATAAAAACCTTTCGTCAAACAAAGACAGTAATTATTCAGAGATTTCCGTCATTTAGGCGAAGAAGAAAAGATACCATTCCTGATGGGTCGTTGCTACTGCACCTAATGAGATAGATTTATTTTATATGTTATATATTTGATCTAACAATCGAATTGAACAGCGATAATGAAGCTACCAAATTTTATGCCATATCTTTATTACTTTGATAATGCATAATTTATCTATCATATTTGCGGCGAAGAAAATCAATAAAATTACTGATTTCAGGTTTTGTTAAATATATTACAATGTTATAAATATAATAAGAAACATACAACAATAAAATTCAATAGTAATAAATAATCTAAAAATTTGACTTTTTAAAATAAAATAATAAATAAAATAAAAGAATAAATAGCAATAATTAAATAGAACTTAACATATTTTTAATAAATTAAGAATTGTATTTGTACAGTATTTGATCTTTTTCTCGAAACATTTTGTCTTTTTCTTGAGAATAATTCAAACATAAAATATCTAAATCATTTTTAGTAAAAGATTTCTTATTTAATGAACCACATAGAAGAGAGTTACAGCCAAGAGATTCAAATGCAACATTTATAATTCCATGGTTATTTTCAGGATTTTCAAAAAGTTGATTTACGAATATAAGCTTATTTTCATCGAAGTCAATTGTATCTAATTTTGAAGAGAAAATTTTATCTCTCATGTTCATGTAATTCCATTTAACTTCTTTCTGAAACATATTATTTAAGTCATTTCTGACATAAATAGTACTTTTAAAATAAAAAGATGTAAGAATATTGTGAAATCGATAACATAATAATAAAAAAAGTAGACGCATAATTACCAAATGCATAATTTTATGTGTAAATTTTCGTCAGTTATTGATTTTATTAACTCATTAAGTTGTTCAGAACTGTAGACGAATAAATACACATGATCCTTTGAGATAGAGAAATTTGAGCCAAATACTAATTTTAAATTATAAGGATTTCTTCTATTCGAATTTGAATACGATTCTTTATCTACCATGCATGTTGATAATGTAAATTTTTTGGCTCTTGACCATTCCGCTTGGTGTGAAAATTTATGTAAAGTATACGGATTTATTTCATATTTTTCACTTTCATATATAACATGATTTGACAAACTAAAATCAAAAGAATCGTCTGGATATCCCATAACTATCCACCCGACTTTAAGTTTTCTGAATTTTTTTCGTGGCTTTTTTTTGCTTGGAACACGTTGGATAACGATTACTGGTGCATCAGGGGCATCATAAGCCACACATGAAGAAAATATATGTCGATTGTTTTCTTTCATTACCGTAGAAAATATTTCACAATCTTCAATATTAGAAATATCATCCAATTTCCATCCAATATCATGACCATACGGATTATTTTCACTTGTAGGGTACATAATTTCATCAATTCCATCTTTTTGGCCAAAGTGGTTATGTATAAAAAATTTCTGATCAAAAATTTGTAATAAAATTTTTATTTATTTTAACTTTAAAACGAAATTACCTTTTAAAATCTTTTTTCCTAAAACTTTTAAAACGTTTTTTCGTAAATCATCCTTTAATAGATCAAAAATCGAATAAACATTATCATATTCAATAATATCCCAAGTATTTGAATCATTGAGCGAAGTAATCCAACAGCTGGGGTCATTTTGTTGGTATTCATCTTTCTTGCCGCCTTTTATTTCACGAGTGGAGCTAGATTTACTTTTTGATGAGTTGAAACTATTTTCTGTATTTGATGTTATACCTAAGCTTGCTTCATTTAATGATGCTTGATATCTTGTTTCCGTTACATAGTTATTTCCATCTTAAAATTATTAAAACTTTAGTGGAATAAATTGTAACAAAATCTTCGTACAATGAAGAGTAAAATAATACCTGAATGTTTAATACTTTCGATTTTCTGGATAACAACTCCTCCAAAGGACATAGATTGTGCATAGAAATGGCCATATTTATCAGCAATTTCCTTAAGTTTTGATAATTTTTTATCGCGAGTATCTTCTTCTAATGCCACTTTAATGTCGTTTTCGAACCCATCAGCTATATCAATATCATTTTTATCTATGTCAATTTTTGCACGTTTTATTTGAATATATGAATATTTCGTATTTGTTTCATAAGAGTTCAGCTTTTCACGCGATAATTTTTGATCAAGTCCAAAGGAAATCGAAATAAATGGCAATACAAAATCAACCTTTCCAAATGTGATAAAGTTTTTTTTACGTAATTCCTGAAATTCGCTCTCACATTCAAATTCGGAGTCTTTATAATCGGTAGCTTCATATGGTTGTGTTGTTGTTTTAATAGTAAATGCTCGATGTTTGGGAGATTGAATTTGTTTCACAAACATTGAATCTTTATCTATAATAAAACCATATCCGCATTTATTAACTAGCTTTGTCCAGTCAGGGCCATCATCTCTTTTAAGAATATTTAATACGTTTGAACCACGTCCATTAATACGTAAAACTTCATAAAGCTTTTTTTTATCTTCATCTACTTCTGAGATAAGCGTATTTTCTTGGTCAGAAAATCTATAGTTTGATTTCATGCGTTCAGGATCAGTATAATTGTTGTTTGCAAGAATTGATCGAATTTGAGAAAGGCTCATTCTCTTATCTAAATAACGTTTAAAGCTATGATGATTCGTCTTATCAGAATAAATGATAATAATTATTTCAGTTTCTTGTAAAATAGAAATATATAATGTATCATTTTTGAGAAATTTTTTTAAATTATTCGAATTTTCTTCGGTGGTTTTAATTATACCTCCGCTTTGCTTCCAAAATAAGAATTCACCTTTGATAATGTCTTCCATTTTTTCTTTAATTGTTTCGCGAATTTCTGTAAGTTTACTTTTTGGGTCTAAATATAATATATGTTCCTCCAAACCATCAACGTTAACATTAATACTTCTTAACAAAAATTCTACATGTATTATGGATTCTTTATCACAAATTGTTTCTAAATTATAATATTTTTCACATTCATAGGTTATTAAAGTTCCAGCTTTATCAAAAAATTGAAGATTTTTCGCTTCTGGATAATTTTTATATGTTGCCAATTTCTCTCGCACATTTTGAAGTTCTATGTTTAGTTGAAGCCACATAGTAAATTCTCGTTCGTTTCCAATTTTGAATTTAAAAACTTTTTCTTGATTTTTATCATTTTTTTTAAAGAACGAAAAGGACATTGCTGTCAGCGAGTTGAATGATAAATTCTTATAAATCAATTTTTGTGATTGCAAATTTTAGAAAATAGACATAACTAATTCATCTTACCCGGTTTATGCTTTGTGGACTTAACTTGCGTAGCATGACTTCAGTGTCACGCCCGCTTAACTTAAACAGAAAAACATTATTCTCCATTGTAACGTAGTACACACGTACATATTTGCCAATGTCCTCGTATAGACTTCGTAAAACATAACTTTACCTAATCTCTGCTCCGTTTTGGATGTTATCCATTTAACTTAATACTTGAATTTCTTCTCAGATGTCGCACATTTTTTAAGAAAAAAAAAGATTATTACTATTATTAATGGCGAAGAGTTTAACATAGAATTAGACGAATTTTATAGTTTACAAGAATTGCGAAAAATACTGGTTTCAAATAAAGGTATTTTAATAGATTGGAGAAATGCACACTTTATAGATACAGCCAAAGAGAAAATATCTCATGACAGAGAAGATCTTTATAAGGCTAAGGATATTTTAGTTCAAGATGACGATTATTATGCTTTATATATAGAGGTAAACGCACCAATTCCGAACATGCCAGAAATTATAAAAAAATTTAAGATAGATAAAGGGTATATATTGGATAATGGCACTATTGTTGCGGCAAATAAGCAAGCATTTTATATAGACGACATTTCTATTAATGTTAAAGACACGTTTTTCTAGTTATCATTGGAAAACAAAAGAAAATTTTGAATATTTGTGGGCGAAAAGTTTTGAGAACAGGTATAATCCAAGTGACGAAGTAGAAGGCAGCAAAGTAATTTCATCAAATGAATGCAAACTATATTATGCTGAAAAAGCCGCTATTCTATTATCACATGAAAATTTGAAATTAACAAAAGAATATTATTATGCCATCAAGAATATAATCTGTCAAAAACATTGGAGCGACACAGAAAAAATAGATGCTTTAAATAAAATTGGTGAAGATTACGGTTTTTTCTGGTAAGCTTAGCTATTTATTATGATTAATGATATTGTATATATATATATATATATATATATTCTATTATTAATTGTGACAAACTAATAGGCCTAGAGAAATCATGCTTGACGGTAAAATTATGCAATTTATCGATTCTAAATCACAACTTCAACATAGAGTACTTGGTGGTGATATTCTAATGTCAGAAAATAAAAAAGATTGGCTACAGCATTTAAAACCTTACAAAAATTGGGAGATTATTGGATATAATAATAGAATTTCACTTTATGAATTGCTTGATGAAAATCTACAGCGTGAAATAAAAAGGCTGTTTGGAATGAAAGTGTATCATTTAGATGCGTTATCTATTAATAAAACTATACCAGTAACCGGGTTATATTATCGTATTCCTAAGCCACCAAAGATTACCTCGTTTGGGGACCATAAAATATTTGCATCCATAATAAATAAAACAAGTAGTGTATTTGCGATCCGTGTCGATTATCCAGATCCAGAGAAACCGCATTTTGTAATTCATCGTATTGATGCAGGAAATGAAGATTCATCACCAGTCAATCTTTTGATACCGTGGATGATTATTGGATTTATAGATAAATTCCCGACTGAATCATATTCTATTAGTTATCCTCGTATCGATCTTTGCACTTATGATTATGATTATCATGATAGTATTAAAAATATTTTCGAGGATGATGATTATGATTATCATGATAGTATTAAAAATAATATCGAGGATGATTATGATTATGATCCTAAATCTAACATTACAAGGATAAAAAAAAATATCAAGACCGATAATTCTTACGATAATTATAACAATAATGGCGATAATTTTACCGTTTATTGTAATAACAATAATTGTAGCGTTTATTATAATTATAGTTATAGTGATATAAATAGTTATAATGATAATTATCGTGATACAGATAATTATAGTGATGGTATTGATATCGATTACAAGGATAAAGATTTTTCCGAGCATGTTTCTAAATTTGATCGTTGCAAAGATAAAATAGTTTTCAGAATTCCCAGATCAAAATTACCGTATTATCCCTTAAACCGTTTGAAATTCAGGGCAAATTTGCCCTGAATTTTACTATAAAAATACTTCTGATCTATTTT